TTCAGTTGAAAATATTAAACTTTGCAAAAGTTTGTAAAAGAAGTGCAGTGAAAAAAAAAACTTCAAAATAAAGAAATGCAGTAAAGAGCAATTGATAAAAGAAAATAAATTATTATTGAATAAAGTATGGTTTTTCAACGTACATTTCTCAACAGTGACTCTTTTCTCACGCTAACTTGGATACTTTGAGTAAATTTTCAGTACAGTACAACAATTGAATACACGAAGTCCTAATACTAAGACTCATATTTATAATACGTCGAAATAACTGTCTCCAACGAGCATTTCTCCAAAATTTGATGTTTTTTGCTATGCATGCCTTTGTTTCACCATAGTTCCCCAGATGTCTCTCCTGAGAAAACGGATAAGGACAAAAGGCAGTTATCTATCCGTATTTTGAAATTCAAAATTCTGTCGAAGAAAAGCTCCAAATCATCCCTTCGTCGAAGTAACCTTCCATTCTTAGAAAATATTTCTAAGTTTTTGTCCAAGCACGTCTCCTCATGAAAACCACTTCGATAGAACTTCACCTTAACTTTTGTCGAAGTCCACCAAATTTAAGAAACTTTAATTTTTCACTTAGTTTCTCAAATGGGAACATGGCATCGAAATTCCCATCCAACAAGTGTGTTCTATTGGTATCAAAGGATCTCAGACCACAAAACGAGATCTTCTAGAGCCAGATCCAGCAAACTGAGTTGGGGTATGTCATTCATGCTATACTTTTTTTTACCGCTTAGGTCAATTATTAATGGGACAATAGTTGATTCCACTGAAATTCATCTCGTAAATTACCTATTCCATATGACACTTGGGTGTATCACTAAGAAGAAGAGTTGGTCAAAGAAAAAGAGCGTTAAACAAACTAAAGCCTTGGGCCTCCTGGTAAGTGCATTAGTTACCGACAAGGCAGAAGTCCATATGAGGTTGCTTGGAAATAACCCTGGACTATGGTTGTGAGGAAACCAAGTCCCCTCCAAAGGAATGCATGCTGGGATCCTTTCGTAAAGGTCGGGGAATGAGCCCTTCAAGGAGCTTCACCCTCGTCCAACCTTATTCTTTAGCCCAAGAGGCCCGACCGTAACACCAGAAACAAGATAAAGTGGTGTTATAGTTTAAAGATTACTTATCTAGTCATTATGTTGTTTCATTGTAATAAATTTACTTTATTATGAATGCAAATAATTGTATACTATTTTTTCCCTATTTCACTCTTTTTTATATCTATCTCTTTAGGACTCTAAAGGCGAAGAGACAAAGGTTACGCGCATGTTTACGTATTGATACAGACCACACGCATTTATGTATATCTGATACGTCTTAAATGCACTTCCGCACCTTTGCGTATCTGATATATACTACACACATTTTTGCGTATCTGATACTGCTTAAACACATTTTTGTGTATCAGATAATGCTTATACGCATTTCTACATTTTCGCATATTCGATATATTACACGCATTTATGTGTATTTGATATGACTTAACAGAACTTTCGTACCTCTGCATATCCAATAAAAACTCCACAAATTTTTGTGTATTTGATATGGCTTAAACACATTTATGAATTTATGTGTTCCCGATATAGACTACACAAATTTATGCGTATCGGATATGGTTTAAATGCATTTCCCATACAAACTACACACATTTATGCATGTCTAATACGACTTAAATCCATTCATGCATTACCTCGCGCACCCCCTTCTAATTTAGTCAATCTAAGGGCGTAGGCAGTGGATCCTAGAGATGTCTACCTCTATCTGAGGCAAGCCTCGAGGAAAGAGAAGGGGAGCATACACTTTATTGGGGAATGATCCTCTATGATGCAGAGCACAATACCATGAGACAAACACATCTCATCAATCGCTACGATTATGGGACCCATTATGGGAAACATAAGCAATACGCTCATTACATCACACAAATAAATATGCTACTACAACAAATTCTAAATACAAAAATAAAACAAAAGCTAAATTCAGTGGACAAATATAGCAACAAAATTGGTAGCTAAAGATGTTCAATGCGCTAAACTGCAAACCATGAACAAAACACTTTTTATTTTGGGAAAATTACACTCACCTTCTCTGAAGTTTATTAAAAGGACATTGATACCTTCCTCTAGTTTTAAATTTTTCATTAACCTCACATAAGTTTACATATACCAACATAAATTTTTAGTGACGGTACTATAGGTAAATTTCATCTATACTTACGATTTTTGGCTATCATGTCATTTATACTTACGATTTTATGTTATCACTAAAATATATAGGGGTTTAATTGCCATTTTAATATACCTCGGGAAGGTTAGTGCGTTTTTTTAAAACTATAGTGGGTTTCAATATCATTTTAAAAGAACTTAGGAGAGGTAGGTGTAATTTCCCCTTTTATTTTTCAAGCAAATTTTGGTATTGTAATTTTCTCTCATTTTTATTTGACAATCACCTCCTAATTTTTTTATTTGAAATTCATTTCAAAATACACTCCATAAAGGTAATGTCTCAACACCTTAAGTGAAAAAATGATTGCAGCTAACTCTAGGTCATAGGTTAATAATTTTCTTCATGCGTCTTCAAATTTCTGGATGCATAAGCCACTACTTATCAATTTTTAAAACACACCCTAATTCTCTTTGAGACGTCATATAATACTTCATAATTTTGGGTAGGATTGGAATAATTAAGACAGTGATAATGATTTACTTCTCTTCAGCTTTTGGAAACTCTGTTTGCAATTAAAGTCCTATTAAAAATGAGTTTCCTTACAAGTCAATGGTAAGGTTATCTGCAAGAACCCTATGATGAACCTTTGATAATAACCTGCGAATTCTAAGAAACTTCTCACTTTGGATCCATTCTTGGGTCTCTCCCAATTTAACACCACTACCACCTTTGAGGGGTCAACTGTTGCCTCCTCCTTGAGATATTACATGTCAAAGGAATCTCACTTATGAAATCCAAAACTCACACCTACTAAATTGACAAATAGCTTCTTCTAGACAAATATTTCCTTTTTCCTTAATGAAAAAACTTCTTCTTCAAGCAAGAGTTTGTCCTTAAAGAATATTTAAGATGAAAGTTTAAGCTTTAGTTGGAATCTTCCTTCTTCTCCTTCTTTCTTCATGCTCTTTCTCTCTACCACTCTTAGGAATTCTAAATTCAAAACGATACAAATGAATGAAATGGTTTCACTTGGATCTTTATGTCTCATGCAAAAAGACATAAATGCCTGACTCAACCATAGAATTTCCAAGCTTTCCCTTGTCTTCTCTAATCATTAAAGTTTCTACGTCAAGTGGCATTTCTAGAAATTCATAATTAAAACTATATAATTAAGGATAGATTTTGAGGATTATATAGAGTGTTATGAATAATATTCAATATGGATGTAGATGTATATTTTTTTTAGGCTTTCTATATCCTCAGCTCATAAATAAATTGTTATTATTGATAATTAGTGGTATATCTCAATGTTTATGTCATATATATATATATATATATATATATATATATATATATATATATATATATATATATATATATATATATATATATATATATATATATATATATATATATATATATATATATATATATATATATATATATATATATATATATATATATATATATATCGTCCATGTTGCATCGTGAATGATATTTGATATGATATAATACTCTTTTTATTTATTTTCTCATTCTCTCATTCACCTTGATTGCTTTTGATTGACTAATTTATATATGAGGGTTAATTAATTTATTGACATCATGATGACTAATATGTTGACGTGTTATATTAATTTTTTTTTGTTAAATAATTTAGTGGTTGAAATTCCTCTTTTAAAAGAAAAATAAGTGGAAAGTCACAAGTTCGAACTTGTATCTCTGCATCTAAAATTTATACACAATTAATAAGAATATATTAATATAACTAGTGGTATAATTGTGCGTTCGCACAAGTACCGATGTGTTACGCACATTTGTTTTTAAAATATAATAAGAATGTAGAGAAGAAAAACAAAATTGCTTTATCAAAAGAGTTTATTATTTTTAAAAGAAAGACATATTTTGATTTATATATAGGTTATAAATACAATTCTTTCATATCTAAAAATATTTGGATGAACGCTATATTTTCCTGTATGTAATACTGTTTTTGTTTGACATTATTTATAAAAAAAACTTGTTCTCATTTACAAAAAAAAAAATTAAGATTAACTCATTAATTTAAAAATAATATTTTTCATTAATAACATATATTAGTGAAATAATGACATCAATCATTTGAATTTCATTGGTGTGATAAGTGGAATTGTGATCACTTATTTGCAAATTAGAAAAATAAAATGAATGATTAAATTAATAGGTTATGGAAAGAATACAAATGAAAGTAAAAAGTTATAACTTTTTGTATTGATTAATAGAGATAAAAAAATAAAAGAAATGTGATATATATAAAGTTGTAATAAAAAGAAGTAACGAAAACTAAAAATTAGTTATAGTTAAATGCGTTTAAAACGGTGTTAATATCATATAAGAAAAACACGCTTTGCTAAAGTTTCGATTGATTGTGCCTTCACCGATATTTTCATCGGTATTGGCACTTATGGAAATATGATATTAGGAGTTGATACTGGTAGTAGTGGATTCAGGATCATTGGTTGAAGTATAAACACTTATGCACTGGGAAAGACAATGCCAAAGGTGTGTGCATCCGATTTTTTGAACAATTTGTCTAGGGATATGCAGGTAGGAAAGAAAGGGGTGGATAGTTCATATAGAAACACAATTATTGGAGAGAGCTGATTTGTAAAGAGAGTGATTTTGATGGAAGAATTGTTGAGGAATGCAACATTGGTGACTATGAACGTCCCTAAGTTATGTTTTCTAAGACTAAATAAAAAAGAATCCATATGCCTTGAAGGAGAGAAGTCATAGTTAAGCTACTAGGGAGAAGGATCTAGTATAAAGTTTTGGAAACACGACTGAAGAAAATGTGGGTGAGGAAAGGGATTATTAACATTATTGATTTAAGTAATGATTATTATATCGTTGCTTTCACACATGAAGAAGATAAACATGAAGCTTTGGTAGATGGTTCATGGTTTATCTATGATCATTATTTGAATGTTAAGCATTTGAGTCCGGACTTCCATCTTAAAAGTGATACAATCAAAAATGTTTCTATGTGGATTAGAATTGTTGGATTACCCATTGAATACTATGACCCAAGAGTGCTCCATTTTATTGGAAACTAAGTGAGACATGCTATTAAGGTGGACAAAAACACAATGCAACATAAAAGGGGCAAGTATGCTAGGATCTATGTAGAGGTGAACCTTGCTAGACCTCTACTGGCCATATTTACCTTCAAGGCAATAAGGTATAAGATAGAATATGAGGAACTTCATCTCTTATGTCTTACATGTGGGATATTTGCTCATTACAAGGAAGGATGTCAAACAATTACTAAAGGAAAAAGTGAGGAAGTGGCCCGTGTATGGATGAAGGATCAACACTTAGAGAATGGTGGAACCAATAATAGTAATAAGAGTGGTGCAAATGAAGTGACCGGGGAGGGGCTATTGCAGGTGGTTCATAAACAGCGCAAAGGATGGATGAGACCGAATAACCAAAAAGGAAATCTTCCGATGGCAAATAAAACTGGGAGCGTAAATAATGTATCTATGTTTTACACGTAATGATGATATCATAGAATTAAGTGGGTTAGAAGAAGGCAATAAAAAAAACTTTTTGAAGATGTTATTAATGATGAGGGAAGTAGAGGAGAGAAAGTAGTGGCAGACATGAATGGTGGGCGTTAGATGCTTCTATGGTGAAGCTGACAATTAATGATGAGGTCATAATAGGTAATGATGAGGTATTAATGAATAATCATCAGGAAAGGCAAGATTTTCCTATCATTAATATGATTATTAATTTGGTAGAACATGAAACAGAAAAAAGCAATAAAAAAAAGGAAAAATGGAGTGCAAAGACATGGCAGAGAGATATAGGGAGAGCTTAAAAAGTCAATGTTATGGAATAAACTTTAAACACATCGAACCAGAAAGGTACAACAGTTAAACAATAGACCAATCATGAAAAAACATGGAACTAAACACGGACATGATCAAATTGTAAATTTCTTAGAAGGAGGAAACGTGATTGAAACGAGGAAAGAAAAAAATAATAGTTCGCACGTGGAAAATGGCAATGTTAATAAATTGTCTCATATAAGGCATACCTTAGGGAAATATGGAGAAAGTAACCAGTTTCATTGTATTGGAAGTAGACCACCAGACATCGAGAACTTGTATTTGACAAATGAAAATAAATCACAACTGGAGCTGGACAATCAAGATGATAGCAGAAAAGGTGACAAGGAAACTCCATTGAAGTGTTGAGTTTTGGGATGGTGATAACCTTATATTTTGTTATGATGAGTACAAATATTAATTTAATTGTGTGGAACTGTAGGGGTGCGGCAAGCAAGGCTTTATATATATATATATATATATATATATATATATATATATATATATATATATATATATATATATATATATATATATATATATATATATATATATATATATATATATATATATATATATATATATATATATATATATATATATATATATATATATATATATATATATATATATATATATATATATATATATATATATATATATATATATATATATATATATATATATATATATATATATATATATATATATATATATATATATATATATATATATAAAGCTTTATATTAATATGTATAAACCTAGAGGTTTTGTGGTTATGGAGACAAGGTGTGATCCTAAAAGATTGCATAACTCTTTGATGAAGTTGCGTTTTGATGAGACTATTTTAACGAGTAATAGTGGCTACTCCGGGGGTATCATTGTAGCATGATGTAAGAATATATTGAATGTTACGCTTTGTTCAAAGGTGGATCAATTTATTCACCTTAAGATAAAGCTTTTGACAGGAGAGGATTGGTGGTTTACAGAAATCTATGCTAACCCTAATGTGGACATTAGAAGGAGACTGTGGGATAACATGCTTAATATTGTTTGGAATGGGAGAGCTCCTTGGCTTTTGGCTGGTGATTTCAATGAAATTTCCTATGCTATAGAGAAGAAAGGAAGGGTGGCTACATCCCAAAGAAAATGCACAGAGTTTTGAAATAAAATATTTGAGTGCGAACTTCACGATCTGGGAGCTAGTGATCCCAAGTTTACTTTAAGGGGACCTGTGTTTCAAGGAGGACAACGCATTTATGAAATATTGGATAGGGTTTTGAGTAATGAGGATTGGAGGTTAATGTTTCCTTAAGCTCATGTTAAGGTTTTGACATGTGTTGAGCTTTCTGATCATCATCCAGTCATGGTTTCTCTATTGTGTAATGGTTACTCTAGAATCACTAAGAATTTTAGATTTGGAAGTGATTCGATGACTGATAATAATTACTTTGCAAGGGTAAAGGGATTGTGGAAGGACATTGATATACTAGATATTAACTTGAGAAGGATTGTAGAGGATACCAGGGCATGGAAGTGTAGTACTCTTAGGCAAGTGCATATAAGAAAGAAGGAAATTATGGCTAGACTAAACGGAGTTTAAAAGTGTATCCAGAGAAAAGATAATGTGGGAGGAATGGAGGATCATGAGGTTCAGTTGCAGGAGGGGTTAAATAGAATTTTGCAGAAGGAAGAACTCATGTGGTTCCAATGATCGAGGGCCAAATGGCTTGCTAATGTGGACAAAAATACCCAGTACTATCATTTGAAAAGTATTACAAGGAGAAGGAAGAATGTGATTGTTATGCTTCAAGATGATGTTGGTGGTGGATCAAAGATGGGGAGCAGATTAAAGGTTTAATTGATAAATATTATATGAAGTTGTTTAGTATTAGGAGTTAGTGGTAGGCTTGGGAACAAACTCCTATTTCATTCCCAAACTTAACTGATGATGATGTTGAAAGGCTTGGGTGGCAAGTTACAAATAAGGAGACCAAAACAGAATTATTTGATATAAAGCCTTGGAAAGCTCCGGGGCATGACAGATTCCCAACTATGTTTTGTCAAAATCTTAGGACATAGTTGATAAGAATGTGGGTGATTTTGTTCAGTGAATTTTGAAGAAGCCCGATGGGATTGTGGAGGTGAACCAAAGAGATATTTGTCTCACGCCTAAAGTTGACCATCCCATAAATGTGACGCAATTCTGTCCTATTTTGCTTTGCAATACTATTTATAAGGTGGTGAGAAAATTTATAGTGGGTAGAATGGAGAAGCGTATAAGTAGGCTAATATCTCCTTATCAGACAGGTTTTGTGTCAGTCCGAGCTATCCAAGAAAATATCATTATTGCTAAAGAAATCACGCATATTATGGAGAAGTTAAAAGGAAAAAGAGCATTTCATGATAAAAGTTGACTTGTCCAAAGCTTATGACAGGTTGAGATGGGAGTTCATTTGGCGTATGCTCCAAGAAATTAATTTTCCTGCTAGCATAATCAATCGTATCATGTATTCAATATCTAGTGTTGAAATCAATGTTAACTGGAATGGAGCTCGATGCAATTCCTTTCGTCCTCAACATGGCATTAGTTAAGGAGATCCTCTATCTTCTTAATTTTTTGTTCTTTGCATGGATAAGTTGTCACATCTTATTAAGCATGTATTTCATGGCAAAAACTGGAAAACTATGAAGTTGGGGAGAAAAAGAAGTAGAATCTCAAACTTGATGTTTGTTGGAGATTTGTTGTCCTTTGGAGAATCTACAGAAAACCAAATGGAGTGTGTTATAAAGACCCTTAAAAAGTTCTGTAGAATTTTTAGGCAGGAAGTTAGTTAAGAAAAAACAAGCTTGATATTGTTGTACCCCAAAATTTGACCAACCATTTTTCTTGTACTTGGCTTATGTTTCATTTCATCTTTAACATTTGCATTTGCATGGCATTGTTATTAACAGGGGATCAAGAGAGGTGAGCCATTCAAGAGATGAGTCTCAGGGTTTCAAACTCAAGCAAGAGTACTTATTCAAGTCATCAAGTGCTTACAGTCATCAGGAAGTGGTCAGAGCTCTTTGGGAGAGAAGATTGATGTGTGTTGCTTATCTCTTATCTTGGAGGTCAAAGGAAGATTATCAGGGGTTTGTAAGTTCATTGTTATGGATAAGAGGTGTTTAAGAAGCTCATTGAGTGCTTTTGAAGTCATTGTGGAGCTTGTCTAGGCATTTATTTCATCTGCAAGAGGCCACAGTCAAAGGTTGTGCACCTAAGGTTTCATCTGGTCAACTCAAGGTCAACTGAGGACTTGAAGGAGCTTGAGACTTGGTTTCAAGTCACACAAGCCATGGGAAGTCACCCTAAAGCATCTAAGATGTCATGACAAGATCAAATTGAGAGGAATCAAGAATGGAAGAAGTTACTAAATTAGGGTGTCAGATGATTTTAGTGTAAAATCCCCTTCTTTAGTGCCCAACTTCAAGGCCATTTTCACCTACGATACAAGCTTAATCCTATTTTCATGCAAACATGATACTTTTAGGGCATGTTCTTAGCTTTATTTTGAGTACAAGATCTCATCCATTGGGTTTGTGCATCTCAAGTTATGATGCCAACAAGTTATGGGTCTCAGATGAACTTATGTTTGGTCAACTAAAAGTCAACTCACTTCCAAGGCACTTTTGACCTAGAATCATGTTTCCCCTCAACTTTAGGTGAACATGAAAGTTGTTCCTCATAGTCTTAGCTTTCCGAAAATTCCTATAAGTCCTTGATATCATTAATACATCTCAAGTTATGGTCTTGGCAAGGCAAGGGTATTTTGGAAAAGTTTCATTTTGGGTCATTTGTTACATAGGCCATTTTCATGCACTTGTGTACCTCAAATGAATTTCCAACCAACATGGAATTTGTTCCTAGAGACCTCATTTGCATCATATAGCTCAAGGATCATGTGAATTAGGGATGATTATGGACATGTGGTGAGATTTTCAAGTTAAAAATGGACTTTTAAGCATGATTTGAATTCAATTCATTATAAGCCATGTTTATGTCTCATTTTGATTCAATTCACTCCATAGTGTGTTCATGAGTAAAATTGCACAATTGGTTTTGGTACAAGAGGGAAAAAACATGTGCAAATCCAAGTTTCTTCACAAAGAAGTTTTAACTTCAAACTTGCAAATTGGGTCAAACCAAAGGCCCAAATCAATTCTATTGTCAAATTGAA